TAAGCAGTGGACTGGGCTGTGGGGCAAGTGCCCCACAGGCCTCTATAATGCCCCAATAAAACATCTGGTGCCCTGACAACATAGCTTAATAAATATTGCAGGCCGCACTAATATAAATGTAAGGACAGCAGGGACTGCAACTACAGCCTGCCTTACTATTTGTATTATTGTGGCCAGCCGGAACAGAATGAACATTGAGCAAGACCTCAGAGTTGCTTTGTCTACCACCACCCCAGACTTTGAGACACTTATCAAGAGCAAAAAGCATCCCCAGTTTTCCCATTAGTTCATACATAGTGTATGTTTCGATTACCAATTATTATATTCAATTATTGGGATTTTACCTCAACAGCACTTTCATTTTCAATAGCACTATGATTACTGCACAATCCATTTTGGAAGGAAGCTGGAATGAAATATAATATTTCGGAAATTATATTAGTATTATTGGGTCAGCACTTAATGACCAAGGACAAATGTGGGTCCTGAGGTTCCACAGGTTGAGAACCACTGATCTAGAAAAAGGCAAAAAAAACCCTTGTAAAGCATGGTCCAGGGGCAGACTGACCATTTGGAAACTCGGGCACTGCCCGAGGGCCCGGGGTCAGTAGGGGGCCCCATGAGATGCCCCTGGTATCTTTTTCATAGGCTTTTTTGAGTTTTGGCAAGGACACAGGGGCCCCATGATCCCCTATTGCCTGGGGGCCCCATGAGTTGTCAGTCTGCCCCTGGCATGGTCCAATTTGTTTCAACAGGTAAAAATGAAAGGATAAGTTAACCTTTTTAGGGGTGGAAAATGTAACAAGTTCCCACTGCTGCAGATGCTGCCCAATCCCCCCGCCCCTGTGACAGCAGTATGGGGAAAAGTCCCCCATACTAGCTGTCAGTTTTTGAAACCAATGCAGCCATGGGGGGCCCCACCCACAAAGCCGTGCCATTCATTCCGAGGGCTCAGTAAATGAATAAACTACAGGTCCCAACAGCCTTTGTGGATGTCAGCTTGCAGTTCTCAAAGAACTACCAGAAAGCTGATGAGCTCTGTGGTAGTTCATTAAGTCTTCCTGTCAGACTGTATCTGTTTGTCCATACAGTTTGTAGGAGTTCTGCATGGCACCGGTAATCTGCTGATCGCTGGTTCAATGCTTTCCAAGCTCCAGAAAAAAAACAGTAAATACAGATTTTGTTTACCTGCAAAAAAAAATTAGATATTTATTTATTTTTAAAAGTGAACTTATCCTTTAATTCCTGATCACAGCACACATAACGTTCAGCAAATATGTCAGTTAACTGGTGTGTTGCAGAGCGTTCACTATAAATGGGCTGCCTTATTTCAACACGCATTGCAAGTTGTTAATTATCCTATGTGAAAAAAATAACAACTGCACACCTAGACAATATTATTGGTTGGAAAGAGAAAAATGTTTTATAAAATAGTCAATAGAGTTGAAATAACTCGGACAACTTAGTAAATTGACACTTGCTGTCTTATTGCTGTCTTAGCTATGATTGTTTTTTTTTAAATAGGAGGATTTGTTAGCAAAATTACAGCTAAGCTATAGGAGATGATAACCAGTCAGGTTATAGTGAGGTGGACAAAAGGAATCAGAAAATCCTCCCCTGGAATTCTATAAAGTAAATTATTGCCTTCTGAAAACAGAAGGTATTATTTATCCTAGCTTTCATCACAAATCCAAAAAACAAGGGATTTAGTCTTGAACTAGACACTGCACAGAGCTATAAGGGAGTATGTGAACTGACAGCTCATCCAATATAGCAGTTCAACTCCCTGAAGCACTGAGAGTGCATGGTCCATGTCACTGACAAGTTAAATATTATATATGAACCAAGCCCATAAGCACATCCTGATCTCCGCTGCGTAATGCAATACCTAGGATGTTCAAGCAGAATGTGCTGCATCTGTTCTAACAAAGTTAGCATGTATGAAGAGATCAGGATATTCTGATGATCTTTGCTCACTGAGAAAAGCCCTGCAAAATTTTCTTTTATGCCCCAATGGCTTATTGATTGTACATGCACAATTGTTGTTGAGCACACATGCAGTCAAAAATTATAGAGCCAGTTCACAATGACAGGTATAAAAGATCCGTGCTCGATAACATATGTAAGTGTTCTAGATCTCTTTCTGTTCGTGCGACTGCCCTCAAGGTTCTAACCAGATGGTACTATACCCCATCAAGACTACATGTATTGTTCCCAAAAACATCCCCTTTGTGTTTCCGGGGCTGTGGCCTCACAGGTACATTGGTTCATATATTTTGGGATTGCCCGACCATATCTTTGATTTGGCGCAAGATATCGGAGGTGGCTACCTCACTGGTGAGTATCCCAGTACGATTGTCTATACAGACTTGTTTATTGGGGGCTCATATCCCGGGGATCTCTGATGCCACTATGAGACTGATACATACTACTTGTATTGCCACTTTATGGGCTATTGCCTTACATTGGAAGTCCAATGCTGTACCATTGGCCTCTGTTTTACACAGGGTTGATGCAGTGATGCTCATGGAACGTATTCATTATACCTTACTAGATAAGATGCACTTATTTGATAAAAAATGGGAATCATGGAGGGATTATAGACATTTATTGCATGATTAACAACATTTCAAGTGAAGATTGACTGGCATATACTGTTGATAGATGTATCATTCAACCTACTTTATTGTCTACATATTTCATGTACTTGCAATCTATTCTTTTCTATTTCTTCTTTTTCTTATGTTAATATACTTTTCTGTAGTGTATTTTTCAAAAGTGCCTTGTTTTTACTGTAAGTATCATTTGAAAATGTACTGTTGTTTTACAGTCTACTTTTGCAAAATAAAACTGTTTGTAAACAAAAAAAAGATCCGTGCTCCTTTGGTTAAAAGAACCTAGAGGACTTCCAACAAAAGACTGTCTTTCTAAGAAACATTACAGTTACGCAATGGGTATCTACGGCCAATGGTATCATGAGAATGGAGGAGATGTTACCCCTAGATACTGATACATTTGACAAATTTTAAATGCTTTGGTATATTTGGATGTAGTTTGCCTCTTCAGACACTCTAAAGATGATGATTTCTGCCTATTAACCCCCTCCATCATCCTGTTTCTTTGCAATTGATTGATAGCCATGCCAAGGAATCAGTCTGCTGAGTCCTATACTCCTTTGGAGTTTTACTGCTATATGCAGCCAAATCCAGTGGTTGGTCCCCCTTCCCTTGTTTTGACTTAATCTTTCCCCAGTCATTCCCTATGTCATTGTGAGGGTACTTTCCCTTTAGTTCTTTACTGTGATAATGCTACTCTGTCAAGTCATAATGTCACTTATATCCCCTGATCTGCGATCACTTTCTGTTATTTCGTACCTGATTACCATTTGTTTATATTTTTTTTCTGGAAATGAATAACTAAAGATTTGCCTATAAAAAAAAATTACTGTTATGTGATCACTAACATCACAAATAAAAAAAAAAAGGTGGCTTACTTCTTAAGGTTACCTAACTTAAGGTAAACTAAGCTCTGAAATGTGAAACAGATAACCTTTAGAACACGACATACCTTTTAACATTTTCAGTGGCTAAGAGCTTCTAAATCGAGGGTGCTCTAATATTCCAAACACAGGTTTTGCAAACATAGGTGTCCATTTATGACACAGAGAATAGCTGTGATTCAGAGGATCGCAGCTATTCTGTTCATTCAGTTTATGACACTCAGGAGATCAGCAGAGAACTGTTCAGCTCTTCACTGGAGATCTGTGTTCTCCCTCCAGATTCTCCAGCCCAGAGCTGGAGAATCGGAGGAACCAAAAACTAAGCAGCGATAATTTACCTCTGTTTAGTAAACTGATCTTTTACTGTAATCTCGTGCGATTATAGTAAAAGCAGCCATTTTCCAGCATTTGTAGACCGTTCTCCAGTGTTTGGAGACCGTTCTCCCTTCGTTCGGAGAACTGATCTACATATGCTTCATAAATGGCATTCACAGGAGAACTGTGTTCTCCGAGAATGCCGGAGAACTGAGCAGCGATCTATTACCGCTGGTTCATAAACAGATACCATAATTAAGAGCAGGCTGGCCACCATCTGAATCTCCTTATTAGATATTGAGGACACCTATCACTTGAACATCCAACATTCCTGGCAAAACATATAAGAAAACCCCAAGATAATGAGCTCCAGGGGCACTGAACATAGTAGACACAGGTATGTTCAAGCACTTGTAGATCCTGAATCGGGTTTTAAATGTACTTTACACTGACATAGCAATGAATAACAGTTTCTTGTTTACTGTAAAGCCAGTAGGTATGAGCCCTAATGAAGACTCAGAAAGGTTGGTGACATATTGTAACATTCTAATATTCAAACGCTACTTATTTTTAAGCCCTGTACCAATGTTGAACTGACCCATAATCTATCACTGCAGTCTATGTCCACACTGACTAGCTGCCTCTTCGTGACATTATCACAAAGAATGCTGTCTTCTGGAGACTGAGAGGACCCCACAACTAGTACAGCAATAGGAAATGTTCACTTCCCAGGCAGTGACATACTGTAGATATCTGAAGAAGGATTCTCCTTTTTTGCAGTGAAGAAGATAAAAGACATGTGACCACGGATACGTGTCATGTATTTAAGCGAATGGGGCTCTTAGTTTAGAATCCTTCTTTATCCACTTGCTTACCAGGCACTTATACCCCCTTTTTTACAGGCCAATTTTCAGCTTTCAGCGCTGTCGCACTTTGAATGCCAATTGCGCGGTCATGCAACATCATACCCATATGAAATTTTTATCATTTTTTTCTCATAAATAGAGCTTTTATTTGGTGGTATTTACTTGCTGCTGGGTGTTTTACTTTTTGCTCTATAAACAAAAAAAGCAAAAAATTTGCAAAAAAAAAAAAAAAAGTTTCTTTGTTTCTATTATAAAATTTTGCAAACAGGTAATTTTTCTCCTTCACTGATGTAAGTTGATGAGGCTGCACCGATAGGCAGCACTGATGGGCACTGATAGGAGGCACTGATAGGAGGCACTGATAGGTAGCAATGATGGGCACTAATAGGCAGCACTGATTGGCACGGATAGGTGGCACTGATAGGTGGCACTGATGAGCTGGCACTGATGATAGGTACTGATAGTCAGCACTGATAGGCGGCACTGACTGGCGCAACTGCTGGGCACTGACTGGCAGCACTTCTGGGTGGTACTGACTGGCAGCACTTCTGGGTGGTACTGACTGGCAGCACTGCTGGGCACAGGTGGGTGGCACTGCTGGGCACAGGTGGGCGGCACTGCTGGGCACCAGTGGGTGGAACTGGTGGATGGCACTGCTGGCACCGATCATCAGGGCACTGATCATCAGTGCCCTGATGATCGGTGCCGATCCCTACTCTGACAACTGCCGGTTCTCGGCAGTACTTTCCTCACACTCTGACAGCGTGAGGAAAGTGCAGCCGAGAACCGGCAGTTGCATTTCCTGGTGATCAGCATGTCACTGGACACGGCTGATCATGTGGTAAAAGGCTGCTGTGATTGGCCTTGTACCACATCACGTGATCAGCTGTGTCCATAGGACACAGCGATTACGGAGATCGCCGGGTGCTCGCCCCTGCGGGTGCGCAGGAGAGCGCATTCTGGGAGGATGTCATATGACGCCCTCCCAGAACTGGCCAGCCGCAGTGCAGCCATCATTTGGCTATCTGCGGTCGGCAGCTGGTTAAAACTAACTCAGCAATTAGTTTGGGATTGGGGCAAATGGTAGTGGTGGGGGTTGTTGTCTAAAGTTGCCAGCCTTAACTTTATTGGTTGCTCTGGGGTATTCAAACTACTTATTCAAATGGACTGTCCTTCCAAAAGTGATTTTTTAACTACATGTTTATACAACAAATCACCAGCGCCAAGAAAATATTTGTGAAATAATTCCCAATTAAATGCTGCTGCTCCTTAGTGACAACACTAATAAAATAACAAAAAAACATAAAAACAGCGCAAATAAACACTCAAAAAAAATATAAATAATACAAAAAAATCATACAGAAAAATATATAATTATTAAATAGTCCCACTCCAAAAAAAATATAGAATATGGTGAGTAGAATGAAATCGAAAGTCCTTATTCCAAGACCCTTGACCATTGATCATACCCGTTTGTGCTAAAATCATATGCCACACTCACCAGATATTGGTGAAAAAAATGCCTTATGTATGGGCTCAGGAATCCTAGATCCCGTCAACTCAGCCTCCAATCACCAGGTCAAGATGGAGATCCCCCAATGCAGGTAAAGATATATGCCTCAGAACTCCAAACCATAGTTTAAATCAGCCTCCAACCTTCAGGACCACCAGAGATCACTCGCCTGCAGCCACAGCCTCTGTAGCGGGGCCACAGAGGTTGTGGCCCTGGAAACGGGTTTCAGTGAAAGACGGATGTTAGCTGACATCATTTTTCACCAATATCTGGTGAGTGTGGCATATGATTTTAGCACAAACGGGTGTGAACACTGGTCAAGGGTCTTGGAATAAGGACTTTCAATTTAATTCTACTCACCATATTCTATATTTTTATTGGAGTGGGACTATTTAATATTTTTTTCTGTATGATTTTTTTGTATTATTTATATTTGTTTGAGTGTTTATTTATTGCGCTGTTTTTATGTTTTTTTGTTGTTTTAACTACATGCACATACATGTGGCTTGCCAGACTGAGTAAGCCACTGACTTCATTCATGTCTTTATATTTCAGTAGCAAAATTTCCTTGCCAAAAAACTATCGTTTCTATCCACCAGGGAGTTCTGCATTGAGTTCTCACAACTTGTCCATTTTCCAGTATCTTCATTCTGCATATTATAAAACAAACAAAGAGCTAATTCCCGCAGGGAAAATAGGACCCCTTCATAATAGCCATAGCAAGTGTGCAAATCTAGGAACTCAAGCAAATATATCTTACTAATAAAGTGCACCTATATTCATTCAAAATAAATGGGTGGTTTAACTCCCCAGGGTCTACCAAATATATTATGGGTGGAATAACCCTTTAAATAATTATATGTTGAATTCATCAAACCCTTGTTTAGTTACTTGTATTCTGGTGCATGTTTATCCTTCCACATTTAGTTGCACTAAGAAAAAACTGCTAGATGAATCCTAATGCTGTCACTAATAGGGAACCAAATACAATACACTCTACTGGGCTAATAAGTGAAATATTGAGTTATCTATCACAATGATCTAGATGAAATGTGAAACTCTCAGAACTGAAGAGCAAATTATTTTCCAACCAATAGAATGGTTGTATGTTGTAATTATATAACTACATATACAGACAAGGCTAACAGGAAATTAGGTGTTCAAAAAAAATAACAAATCTTCTTGATACAATAAATTACAACTATTGAGTTCTGATGCATACGCTAAATATATTTTAAAGTGAGAGTCCATCCAAGTCACCAACATTGTTAACATTGGCTCCCTAAGTTGCTATACACTCCCCATAAATTAATCAAACATGCAAAAGGGAAATCGAGGCTAAGGTTTTAAGGGAAGTAACAATAGTTTTGGTCAAATTTGTATTTTTTTTAAATCATTTGTATAACTTATTTATTTAAAAAAAAAACATTTGTTACGGGGTGTATCTATTTTGCATGCAAAGAACGTATTGAGGGAGTAGAGTCTCTCCTCTGAGTCCCGCTCTCTTAATCTTTAGCTGTGACATGCTTAGTACCTGCAGCCAGCAATGGCTCAATACTTTATTGCTTCACAACTGGTATATATTCAATGACAGGTATATCTACTGCAAAATAATGCTCTAACAGCTCTAGAACTAGCTAAAGTCACTTCATATGAATCACTAAAGTAATTTATTGTGGACCATTTTCAGCCCTACATGGCTTTACTCTAATTTTCAGCACCCTAAAAGTTTAAATATTCTTCTAAACACTTTATTGGATCTTTAAAATCCCTGAACATCTCCATATGGTTTTACCCTTCTTGTGAGTCACTCTTGTGGGGGGGATTATTTACTAAAGCTGGAGAGTGCAAAATCAGGCTCACTTCTGCATAGAAACCCATCAGCTTCCAGGTTTGCCAAAGCTTAATTGAACAAACTGAGGCTAGAAGCTGATTTGCTTCTATGCAGAAGCGAGCCTGATTTTGCACTCTCCAGCTTTAGTAAATAAACTCCATGGCGTCAAGTAAAATCTCAAACTGTATAACCATGGGAGAACCTTAAAAGGCTACTCACAGACACCTGATTTAAAGTCCAACTCTAGCCAAGGCTTTTTATTTCATTTTGGATACAGCAAAGTCCTTTATCAAGTTTTTAATGCCATTTGTGTTTCTATAGGAAGATATTTTCTGTTACTTGCTGTCACTTTTAGGAATTGTCCATGCTTTTATGCCTAAGGCGACAGCCACAGCCCTCATTTCTTGTAAAGGCATCACAGAAACAGAAAGTGAGGTAAAATCTCCCCAATGTGGTCACAGAGAAAAAATTAAAGACTGACATGAAGTTTTAACTTCCTCCCACTCTATCCAAAAACTAGGAAAAATGGTTGGAGTTAGGCTTGAAAGCAGAACATATGGGTCACCATGGAACTCCTTCTAACACTTGAGTAATTATGTATGCATTCTTCTTATGTTTTTGGGTTTATTTTCTAAAAAAGAAATTAAAAAAGTAGCTGGTGCTACCTCCTCCTTATGTACCCACCTCTTGGCGGTGAAAGTGTTTCATTCTTTTCCCTTTGAATATAGCAAGGGCTATATAGACCTGTGCCTGGGTATATTTGACCCGCTGATTCAAAAAATGGCACCAATTTTTCACTATCAGCTCTAGTTTTTGAGATACAGCATAAATGCCACATACCACTCTTTTTTCTGGTTACACATAAAAAATCAGAATATTTTAATGTAGTGTTTCATTTAATCTCCTTGTAGCATTCCACTGGTTTAGTATATGTTTGGTTTCCTCCAAGCCATTGGTACTCATAATTTCTGGCAGGCTTCTTTTTCCATTTGTCCACTGGTCCAAATGCTTCGTACACATTTTGCATACAATAAAGTGTAAGTTATTAACTGTATAATAGTTATGATCGTATAGAAGGTGTGTATATATTGCCACTCATATAATTAAATCTTTGCAGATTGAGCACCGTAGACATTATGGCTACTTCACAATGGTGCTGCCTGAATCATTCCAATGTATTTTGCTATATTTGTGGGGAATACACCCTGAAAGCAAGTAGAAACCCTATATCTGCATATGGGAAGAGAGCATATCTTGGTTACTTTGGTGTCAAACTTGGAGATCAAGATAAGCCATGGCCTCCTTCCAATTACAGTTGGAAGTACATAAACACTCTCACTATATCTGCTAACTTGTACGCAAAAACACAAACTAGGTAATAGAAGAACAAGTTGATAAGCAAGATCTTTTCAAAAAACTGACAAAAAAATTATATATGTATTTTACCATATCTAAGAAACTAGAGCTGGTGCAGTCTAGCCAATACAATGTTCTGAATCAGCACCCCAAATAACCCCAAGAACAGGTCTAAAAAGCAAGGCACCAAGAAAAAAAGATTTCTCTGTTGGGCTGTGTTATCATTACACCTGTATGTGGTAGGAAAGCCTGATACTGAGGAAGCCGAAGACCGTAGAACACATTGATATGGACGACATGAGCCCCACAGTATATTGTTTGTGTGTTTGCTATGCTGTGTGTTACTGGGCAACATTTATCTAACATTTATGTATTCAATGTATTGTATATAAATACACCACATTTTTTTAAGGATGTGTCAACAAAACTTTTAATGAGGGATCAATTAATAAAATAGTTTTTTATATAAACATAATTTGTATGGTCTGTATATCCCATTATTCCACAACTTGCATTTTTATGGCATATAAATATGGGATAGTGGCACACAAGGTCAATTAAACCTCTATAGCATGTCATATTTCACTCTACCTCTTTATGCACAGCTTGGCTTTAGTTCTACTTTACTAAAAAGAAAAAAAAAGCAGTGCAAGAAATGTTTACAGAAAGGTTATTACAAAACATACATAAAGGTTTAAACGGGTAAAAATGCGTACGGTAAAAAGGTTTAAAAGTGAAAAGTACCTAAATAGAATCCACATGATCATTGCTAAAATAAAGAGTCCAAATCATTTAACGATAAACTCCCATCTGTTGTTGCAAGAGTCACCAGTCCTCATAAACTGAATATTAGTAATGGTTCGGTTGGAAAAAAAAGAGAGCCACCAGCTACCTTGCAGTCTCCTTTTCTCTGTTTCAATGTTCTTATTGAAATTTTGACTGGTTATGACTAGCCAAGTTTTGCTCACGCAGGGGTGACATCAAATAGGCTTGTAAGGTAGAGGTATATACATAAATGAGTATCAAAACAATGAACCGTTACTAGGGCCAGATATATAATTCAATATCACAAATTACACCACATCATCCAATAGAG